TGAAGTTCTCTGTCGTCGGGTAGTAGTAATGAATCCTTGTCTAGGACTCCTGCTCTTATTGTATTATTTAACACGGTGTTGCTTGGATGTCCCATGCGTGCGTGCCAGATGTCTTCGGAGGCGCGGTGTCCGGGTGAGCGTTGATACGCATCGGAGTTGGAGTAGAAGCTGGCGACGAAGTTTGCGCTTCTGTGGACTTCTCGTTGAGTTGGGTTCAGCTGTTGTGCGAGTGTTGGTGGTGCTTCGTCAACGAGAACTGGTGTTGCTGATGATGGTTCTGCTACTGCCGATGATGTTTCTGCTGCTGCCGATGTTGTCTCTGCTGCTTCTGCTGCTGCCGATGTTGTCTCTGCTGCTGCTGATGATGTTTCTGCTACTGCCGATGTTGTTTTTGCTGCTGCTGGATGTTGGATTGTTGCTAACGCGCGTGTTCGTTCTGCTTCAGGGATGGTATGTGAGTACCAGAAGCCTTCCGGGCTGAAGTCTGGATCAAGATCTGGAGGGTGCGTCCAGTCGGCGAAGTTCACGATGGCGTCGCTGTCAGCGGTGCCCAGGTCTGGGACGAAGTCAAGGACAAAGACGTTATTCTTCAGAACCGCCTTTCCGATGTAGAGGCCGCCCTTCCCGTGGTACAGTTTGAACTCCTGGGTGGTGCTGTCGGCTTCCAGGTGTATGCCTTTCGCCATCAGCTGACTAACGCTCAGTAAGTTGTAGCCGAGTCCCTCTGCTATTAGGACTTTCGACATTTGTAGTACGACGTTCGTCTCCCGTGACTGAAGCAATACTATGCCTTGTCGTCTTGTTCGCAGGTTCTGATTATTGGCGACGGTGATGACGACTTCGCGTTGAAGTCGGTGCTCGCGTTGAACGAAACGTCCTGAGGAGCACATGTGTTGTCCGCAGCAACTGTCCAAGAACCAAGTGTCTCTTCCGGATGGCTCGCTTTGAGCGATGGCGGCGTATGTCGGGTTCGGCTGAAGTGACTCGCGGCGAGGTGTGGTTTCGTCAAGTCGTTCTTCTAGTGAGTAGTGCGGCGGTGATTCGGTGATGCAGGAATCTGTTGTCTTTGCCATGCAGTTGACGATGTTTCTTGCTCCTTGTGCAGGTTGTCCTGTTGGAGTCGTTGAGGTTTGAATCTTTGTCGTGGGAGTTGCTTGCGTTGAAGTGACTTGGGAGCTTGAAGGCCGAAGTTGTCGCTGTGGTGTTGTCGATTGCTGGCGATACGGGCAGTGCGTACGAGGATGCCCTGAAGTCTTGCAGATATGGCAAAACGGAGGTACTGGCTTCAATTGTTGTTGCTGCCGATTGTTGTTGTTGTAGCGTCGCTGGGTGTGAAACGCGAACTCTGGTACTGACGTTTTCTTCTTATGTCGTTCTTCTTGCAGGTCCATGCCCTGCTGTTCAGCATGGATTTCGGCGCAGATTGCTGCTTCGGAGATTCTCCCGTGTGCCCGTAATATGGCGCGAGTGGAGCGCCAGTGAGGGCCAAGACCACCGATGACAACCGTGACAAAGGCGTCTTCTGAAATCGATCCTCCACATCGAAGAAGCTTGTCGCGCAGTTCGCGGTAGCGACTGATATATGCCATGCCCTTCTCGCCTGGTTTCATTTTGATTGTTGTCAGCTGCGCCATTAACCGGCTTTGGTTTACGCTGTCTGTTGCTTGATACAGGTTCTTCAAGTGGTTGTACGCGAGCTCCGCGGAGTTACCGTAACCTCGGTAAGTCCTTATGTTCTGTTGTTGAGTCGGGGTGATGTTCCTCAGTAGTATTGTGTACGCCATCATCGATTGATAGGTGTACTGCTGCTTCTCATACTGCGTGCCGTTTGTTGGATATGATAGGGATCCGTCGAAGAAACCAAGGATTTGCGCTCCTTCCATCATCAGCTCCAATTCGAACGACCAAGTAAAGAAATCCTTCCCGTCGAAAGGTTTTGTCGTTTGTAGTTTTAGAACATGCGCGAATTGCGACTGAACTTGTAGTGCGTCCAGTGCTCTTTCTTGTCCCGGTGCAGGTTGTGGTTGCGGCATGAAGCTGACGGAGCCGCGCTGGGGCTCGTACGGAGCGAAGGTAGGTTGTTGATGTTGATTCCCGCGTGCGTAGGATGAGCCATCGAGACTCATGGGCGTCACGTTGTTGTTGTTGTTGCTGTTGTTTGATTGCGCAGGTACTCCTTGCTGATGCTGCTCGTAGAAGGACATGAAGGAGAAGAATTTCTCCATCATACTTGGATCGAAGCCCGCGCCTTGGTTTGCGGGTGTTTCCGTAGACCCAGCTGCTGGTCTAGTTGTTGTCCCTTCCTCTGTCAGTAGGCCAGAGGCAAGAGGTGGAGTAGGGGTAGTACCGGGAGAGCCGTTGGAGGAGCTCCTCTCCTTTCTAGCAGACATGTCTTCTTGATGTATTAAGTGTTGAAGAGAATTTTTTTTTTTTACTCTAACCAGCTCTCATACCATGTTGGGCTGAACGCCCTAGGATCTTTAGTAGAGTTAAAGTCTGAGTAAATGATGTAGTAGCGGAAGCGTTTGAATAAAGTCTTTGAACCACCTTGCGCTAGTGTGTGAGGGCAAAGTTAATTAAAGCAAAGAGATACAGGAATATATATATGAGTACAGAGAATATGAAGAGACATAATTGTAACTGTTTTACTGTTGCGGTTCGATACAGTGCGACTCGGGCAACTGCTCAATGTCGAGTCAGTTGTGTGCCCTTGCTGTCGCGCTGCGTCAGGTCAAAGGTCGCTGACCTTTGACTTTCTCGTAACCTCCAGCGGTTACGTTAACCTCCGAGGGTTGACTCGCGGTGCTTCGATTTGAGCTGCTTCGCTTCTGTCTTGAGTTTCGACACGACAGAGGCGCTCAAGACTATTTGTTCCCAACACTCTTCCTATTACTACTCCCCTCCTCTTCAGCCTCCCTCTCTTCTTCCCTCAGTGTCAATACACGTAGAATGAGAGTGGTGGGGGCGCGAATGCTTGTCATGGCGCAAGGCCAAGATGTCGCTGAGGGCAAGGCGGGTTGAGCGGAGGACATAATCCGGGCAGGAGAGAGAAGGGTCACGGGTGGAGAGTGAAGGGAGGACATTGTGAGCTGTAGGATATTGGAGTTTAGCCATGACAGCGCTTTAGAGAGGACAGCGTGTGCGGTGGACAGATGGAGCTGGGGTGTGTGAGTGATCAAATGGTCAGAGGGGCAGTGGTGTGTGAGAGTGGAGTGGACAGAGGGTGCAGGAGATATGGCGTGAGCAAATACAGAGGTTGCAAGGTGCACACTTGGCCACATACCTTCCCCATCATCGTCTTCCTCAGCCACCGCTTGAGAGGCTAGACCGCCCTGCGCGTGGCCTCCCCCTGGAGACCGCCCATCTGCCCTCCGTCACCACCCAATCTCCTGAATTTGTCCCTATTTTCTCTCCTGCCCGCTCTACTCCCGCGTGTCGCCTTTGCAACGTTAGAAACGACTCTACAAACATTCGAGTAAGTACCATAACCCTGCGCCATACATCCCCTACGTCAACAAATCGTTGAAGTCTTGGGGGCGACGGTGACTCGCCGGAATGATCAAGTGGTACCAAGCCTGGTAAGTCCTGTGCTGGGCGCGGGGTGCATAGCGAGATTGAGCACAGGTGTGTTGTAACGCACGAAGAAGAGAGACCTCACCAAGGACCTGGAAGTTGCGTACCAGACACATCCCACTCTCCTCCCATATCCACCGCGCGCGCTCATGCTACATCCACCCGCGCCCACTCACTGCTTATTCCACCGCGCCCACTGTTACCACACTCCCCCCGCGCCCACTCCCTTACCTCACTGCCGCGCCCACTCACTGCTCATTTCCCCGAGCCGCCACCCCTGCAAACCCCCCCCCTCACCTCATCACTGTCACTGCTCGTTCACGTACACATCGCCGTCCAGTGCCATGAGCAGAGTAGGAGGGGGAAGGGGTAGTAGGGGGAATAGAGGATGACATGGGTAGTGGGGGGGAGAGAGGATGCCATGTGTTGATAGGGGAATAGAGGATGACATGGGTAGCAGGGGGGAGAGAGGATGTCATGTGTTGATAGGGGAATAGAGGATGACATGGGTAGCAGGGGGGAGAGAGGATGTCATGTGTTGATAGGGGCATAGAGGATGACATGGGTAGCAGGGGGGAGAGAGGATGTCATGTGTTGATAGGGGGAATAGAGGATGCCCAGGGTAGCATAGGAGGGTGGATGGGGAGTAGATGGGGATTGGACGGAAGGAAGGACGAGGTGGAGTGGGGGAGGGGAGTGGGTATGTGCGGGTGAAAGGGAGGGTGTAAGTGGGGGAAGCTGAGCTTTGGCGTTGGGGAAAGGGCGGGTTATTGTGTGGGAAAGGTACGGAGTGAGTGGGGTATTGGACGGGGAGGAATGGGGGAATGGACGGGTGGCAGTGTTCCTAAGGACACGGGGGGGAGTCGGGGAAAGAACGAGGGGGGTGAGGGAATGGAGGTAAGGTTGGAGGCAGTGGGGGACTGGACGCGAGGGAGATGGGGCTGGGGCGGGTGTTTGTCGGGGAAGGAAATGGGAGCGAGAGAGAGGGTAATGGGGCAGGGGTTGGTAGCGTGCGCGGAAACAAAGTGAGCCGGGGGGGGAGGAGAGTGAGAAGGGGAGACAGAGTGAGCCGGAGAGATCGAGGTGTGTGAGGTTGATACTGGCGCTTCTAACCACTTCAGGTCGCAGGGCGGGTTGTGAGTGCGTGAAATGGGAGTAGAGTGCGGTAGAGAGTGGGGAGGAGCTGGCATACCGTGTGGGGACGGGAGTTGGCGAGGTGAAACACATGGGTGTCAGAGACAGGAGCAGGGTAGAGGTGGAGGTGTGCGATGGATCCTGCTGCTTGTAACCACTGCTAGCCGCAGGGCGGGGTGTGAGGGCCTGGAGGAGTGGAGTGCGGTGGAGAGTGGTGAGGTGCGGAGGAGGAGGAAGTGTGGCGCCGCGCGAGTGGGAGAGGTCGAGGTGGGTGAAGATGGCTAGGGAGGTGTCTAAGGGGGAGGGATGAGGGAGGAGCGATTGAGACACCAGAGAGAACAAGATGAGTGAGGGGAGATGAGGAAGAGGAGGAGGAGTGAGAGGAGGAAGGAGATGAGGCGGAGGGAGAGGACGGGAGGTGGGTTATGGCAGTCCAGGCGGAGTTGGTGGAGAGCAGGCGTCGGAAGGCGAGGAGCCTTCCGACAGAGGCGCTGGTGATGCTGCTTAACCCACTCTCACAGCCGGCCAAAGTGCACCAGCGACTGCGGGAGAAGGGGGGGAGGTGGGGGTGGAAAAGAGATGGTAGGAGTGGGATAAAGGGGAGCATCGGTGCAGGAGGCGTTAGCGCAAGTGAATCAGGGATGGGAGAATGACCAGGGTAGCTATGAGAAAGGAGGGCGGCGCAGGGTAGCACAGTGAACGTAAGGCCCTTACCTTACGGGGAGGACTAGCGAAGGGGTATAGAGGGGTTGGAGTGGGGGAAGGGGAGGACTGGCGTAGGGGAGAAGGGAAGGGTAAGGGGGTAATGGGAACTGAACCGAGGAGGAAAAGGAGGAGGCGTATTCGAGGGAGAGCAGATGGGAGTTGAAGGCAGGTGAAGGGAACGGAATGGTGGCAAGCGAAGGGAACCAATAGGGGAGAACGTATGACAGAATGAGCAAGGGGTGGAGGTGGAGGTAAAGAAGGGCATGCATGGGAGGAGTGGACGAGGCAGAGGGATTAGCAAAAGGGGAAACAGAGAGAGCAGGGTGGAGAAGGGAGTGCGCAAAGGGAAAATGAGAGGAGTTGGAGGTGGGAAAGGGGTGAGCGAAGGGGAATGGGAATGGAGAGTGAAGAGGGGGGTGAGATCCCCCAAGTACAGGGGAAAAGGGTGTGAGCAGAAGGGGAGAGTGTGAGCAAGGAGCAAGGGAGTGTGCAGGGCAATATTAGGCCGAGAAAGTGGGGGAAATAGTCCCAGGAGGGGGAAAATGGGTGAGACGGGGGGGAAAGAGAGTGAGCAGGGGGAATGGGAGTGAGCAGGGGGAATGGGAGTGAGCAGGGGGAATGGGAGTGAGCAGGGGGAATGGGAGTGAGCAGGGGGAATGGGAGTGAGCAGGGGGAATGGGAGTGAGCAGGGGGAATGGGAGTGAGCAGGGGGAATGGGAGTGAGCAGGGGGAATGGGAGTGAGCAGGGGGAATGGGAGTGAGCAGGGGGAATGGGAGTGAGCAGGGGGAATGGGAGTGAGCAGGGGGAATGGGAGTGAGCAGGGGGAATGGGAGTGAGCAGGGGGAATGGGAGTGAGCAGGGGGAATGGGAGTGAGCAGGGGGAATGGGAGTGAGCAGGGGGAATGGGAGTGAGCAGGGGGAATGGGAGTGAGCAGGGGGAATGGGAGTGAGCAGGGGGAATGGGAGTGAGCAGGGGGAATGGGAGTGAGCAGGGGGAATGGGAGTGAGCAGGGGGAATGGGAGTGAGCAGGGGGAATGGGAGTGAGGGCTCGGAATCCCGTGAGCAGGAGGGGAGAGAGTGAGAATGGGAGTGAAGGCGACAGGAGGGGGAAGTGTAGAGCAACGACGTGGTGAAATGGATGGTTGACGAGAGGGCAAGGGAGAGTTGGCGTGGAGGAACGGGTTGGCACCTCGGGGAGGAAGGGTCAGCGTGGGGGAAAGGGAGGGTGGTAATGGGGGAAGAGGAGGGGGTGAGTGTGGGAAAGGGACCATTAACGTTGGCGCAGGAGAGAGAGTTGGCGTGGGGGAGATGGAAGGGTGGCACAGGGGAACGGAGGATTAGCGTGGGGGAAACGGAACTTTAGTGTGGGGGAAGCGGAGGATTAGCGTGAGGGAAAGGGAGGATTAGCGTGAGGGAAAGGAAGGATTAGCGTGAGGGGAAGGGAGGATTAGCGTGAGGGAAAGGGAGGATTAGCGTGAGGGAAAAGGAGGATTAGTGTGAGGGAAAGGAATGTTTATGTGGAGAAGCAGGGCGAGGGCGAGTGGGGGTAATGACGGGGGGGAGTGGGGGAAAGGACCGGGGCAGTGGGGGAATGGACGGGTGCGAGTGGGGGATAGGGCGGGGGGGAGTGGCGGAAAGGACGCGGGGGAGTGGGGGATTGGGCGGGTGGTAGTGAGGGAAAGGGAGGATGAGCGTGGAGAAATGGCGGGGTGGCGTCGGGTGCAGGGTCACGGTAGCGTCGGAGAGGGAAGCGTTAGCGCAAATGAACCAACCAACAACTTGAGGAAGAGGTTGTGGGGGAATGGGGGGGAGACGGCGAAGAGAATGAGCAGGGGAGACAGACAGAGAGAGCCGGGGGCTAGCGTGGGAGCTGGGGAAACAGGGTGAGCCGGGGAAGAGAGGGCGACTGGAGAATGAGCAGGGCGATGGGAGGGGGGAGCGAGGGCGATGGGAGAGGGAAGTGAAGGCGACGGGAGAGTTCGGTGAAGACGATGGGAGGGAAAAGGGAAGGCGACGGGAGGGAAAAGGGAAGGCGACGGGAGGGAAAAAAGAAGGCGACGGGAGGGAAAAGGGAAGGCGACGGGAGGGAAAAGGGAAGGCGACGGGAGGGCAAAGGGAAGGCGACGGGAGGGAAAAGGGAAGGCGACGGGAGGGGAAAGGGAAGGCGACGGGGGGGGAAAGGGAAGGCGACGGGAGGGAAAAGGGAAGGCGACGGGAGGGAAAAGGGAAGGCGACGAGAGGGAAATGGGTAGGCGACGGGAGGGAAAAGGGAAGGCGACGGGAGGGAAAAGGGAAGGCGACGAGAGGGAAAAGGGAAGAGCGACTCGAGGGAAAAGGGAAGCGCGACGGTCCGGGAAAAGGGAAGGGTGACGCGAGGGAAAAGGGAAGAGCGACGGGAGGGGGGAGTGAAGGCGACGGGATGGGGATGTGAAGGCGACGGGAGGGGGACGGGACGAGCATCGCTTATCGCGGGGTAATCTGAGGGATTCGCAGCTGTCAGGTGACGCACGTACGGGCGTTGCCGGCTCGTGCAGTGTGTCGCGATAGAAATTGATGCCGTCGAGCAGCTTTGTGTACGCTATAACTATCCCTCGCCGTTTTCGAGATTTGACGGATGGGGCTTTGCCCTTGCGCTAGGCCCAATTTCCTAGCTACCTGTAGTAGGCGCAGTCACCCTATACTACAATGAGGTGACGTGGTGTTGGGAAATGTGGTTGTGAGTCAGGTTGCTGTGAGGTGTCGCTTTAGGCTCTGTGCGACTGATGTGTGCGTAAAGTACATGTCGCAGGCCAGCCCTGGTAACATTGGCGAACCTGCGCAAGGTTACGAACATTCTCAACAATCTCGACACCCCCACAGTTCGCGGGCCAATCACGTTTTCACTCCCAACCAACCTTCCTAAGGTTGAACTTCTTGGCCTGCGGGTTCATGTAGATCCGAAAATGCATCCAGATTCCTTTTGGTCATTGTCTTTTTTGGGCGGTAGTTTCATCTGTGACCATTCGCGTGATTTTTTCCCAGCTGATTGCGACTGATTACGTGAAATCACCCTTTGCAGTGACCGTGTCCGTTATTGTTTAACCAAACATATTATCGAGACCCTTGTTGATTACAAGTGGCATATTTTCCCTAGATCTCGGGGTGTCAGCAGTACACTTTATCTCTCATTTACTACGCATAGTGTCTTCTTTGTATTGCTAGCCACGTGATGGGATGAAGGAGCTTGTTGAGTCGATGCGTTTCTAGTGCTAGCCCCATACCCAGCCTTATAGCATGCAACTGTGGTGCTCGTTTTTTGTACATCTCTCTAGGTGAACGAGGGTAAAAAGCAGTGGAGTATTAGTACAAGCCAACAATCTATGATAAGGGAAAAAAAACTGTACATGCTCATTTACATGCCCCCCCCCCCCCATAGCTGCACTCCACAGAGAAAGGTAGACAGGTTTCCAATCACCAAAGCTCATGCACTGTCACTGCACTCACCCAGGGAAATGAGCAAGAATGGCTTCAAGCTAAATTGATGGAAGGAAGAATCCTTCATAGTGCTGAATTGATGAATGAGGAAGGTTCATCCCAGCGCTTGTTGCTCCTTGCTTACATCCATGTCACACGCATCCTCCCAGTCACACTTCCGCTGGTGCTCCCCTCCTCACACCACTTAAATTTCGCCTAGCTACGCCGCACTGAGGGAACTGAAGGATCAACGTGGGGATGAGCTGATTCACGCGGATTCATGCTGATTCGCGCTGAATGTGAACGGATCCGCGCCGCGATCCCAACACAGCAAGTCTAGCAGCCTCAAGACGCGCCTGAGAAGCCATTCTCTCCAAGTTACATTCCTGCTCGTCGTTGTCGTCAAGAGGCATGACTTCAAACCGCCGCCTGACAATGAACTCATCAAAGCTGTTCCCGTTGGACTCAGCTCCAGAAATGTACTCGATAGAAGCAGCTTCGGTAGGAGTGGCTCCAGAATCTCCCAAGGCTTGACTTGAAGGCTTCGTGGGAGGCAATTTCGGCTTCAAAGCACGGACATTTTCCCCACCAGCGACGGGTACAGTAGGGGGTCGCATCCTGTCTTGTGACTTAACCGAGGAAGCCTCTAACGAGTCATGTTCATGCACGGCCGTGTCGTCCCCATGATGAGGCAGCGAAGAACGAGTGTGATTAGCTGACGGGTGCATGGTTGAGGAAACCAGCGGGGAAGCTGATACAGAGGGGAGAGGCGAGTTGAAACCCGCTGCTGCTGCTGAAGCAGCAAACGAGGATGCCCGGGGTGACGCCAGGGGGGAGGCGAACGGGGAGGCGAGCGGGGAAGCGAACGGGGACGCGAGCTGGGACAGTGCGGCAGCCGATGACGTGGCAGAACCGTAAGCCACGGAACCGGTGGAGCAGGACTTTGGGAAGCGCGAGCGCGCGGCGCTGTTGAGAGGCGAAGGTTTCACCGCGAAGGAGAAGTGAGTCATGGCTTTCTTTGTCGAAGAAGCTCCTCGTCGGGCGTGTCGGGCTGTAAAGAGTATCGTGTGGCGTAGCAGGCTGCTCAGGCTGTTTGCTGCGACTCAGACTCGAAGTCAAGGCTTAGACTTGAAGTTGCGAGAGGCGGCTTGGGTTGCAATCGCTGCGGTATAGCAAAGACGATTTCTGTGAAAATGCATTGAAGGGTACACAAGCGCGCGGGGTTATGTACGCTCGGAGAAGCCGCAGACGAACACGCGTGAGTCGCCATACCGTGTCGTACGAGACGAAGCGACGGACTAAGTCGAACGTTTTCGGAGACATTCACGTCCTACGACCTGCACTGTAGCATCGGTTTTGGTTCGACGCTTGCGGCGGATTCACTGCACCCATGAATACTCTTTGATGATCGACGTTAAAGCTGGAAATCGGATTTGCAGGCGAAGTAGGAGGCTTCGAGAAGGTGCTGTGCTGATTGAGTGAAGGGTACGTGTACGGTATTTCCATCTCAGCAAAAATACAGGCTGGCCTGAGGCATGCTGGACCAAATTAAGAGCGTGTCCGAAGTGAAGCGTCGAATGGACGTCGATGGATGTCGGTAAATGTCAGCCCTCGGATCGAGATTTCCAACCGTCAGGATTTACCGACATCGGATGTCAACGGATGTCGACTTCACTTCGGACCCGCCCTAATGTCCAGGTTTAACGAGGAGAGCAACCAATTGTGCGGTTGTTAGTTGATCGTACACTGAAGAATCACGTTCGGTCGGTGGACGTTTTTCGCTTGGCTTGGTTGGAAGGAGGAGCTTTTCAAGCATCCATGACTACTGCAGAGTCTCCGGGACAATACGCCCAGTGGTGCAAACTCTTGTGAGATCGCGCTCCTGGGAGCGAACGCCATCGGAAGCTTTCAGAAAATCGACGGTGATCAACGATTCTGTGGAATCGCAAGGAATCAGAAGTAGGCAGAGAACGATATTCGTCTGCGGATGGGTCGTCGGGGATATCAATAGAAAAGGGAAATTATACGCGCAGTCACAATTTAGGCCGTATTATCACGTTTGATCACGGGGTTATCACGGACAGTCACAGTACAGTACTTCGCTATCACGTGTGATCACAGCGCTATCACGCGTGGTCACTCGTTGAAACGCCCGCCAAAAAGTCGAAACTCTCAAATCTACTGTAGAGATTCGGGTACTATTATCTCGCGCGCGTTTTGTCTGTAGTGAAAAACGTGATGTGACTGTCGAAATATACTCGGACCTTGTTAGGGACCGATGCAGTTTAATGCACAGTCCGCATGTTGTAGTGAATATAAGCGATCAATAACAGTTTCGATTAGTTTAGGGTGTGCATTTCATCACTCCATAATCGAAACAAAGACAACCGAGCAAGTCAGGTAGATGGGTGTGCATTTCATCCATAAACTAAATGTATAATCGAAACAAAGACAACCGAGCAAGTCAGGTAGATGGAGTGATGAAATGCACACCCTAAACTAAATGTATAATCGAAACTGTTATTGATCGCTTATATTCACTGCAACATGCGGACTGTGCATTAAACTGCATCGGTCCCTAACAAGGTCCGAGTATATTTCGACAGTCACATCACGTTTTTCACTACAGACAAAACGCGCGCGAGATAATAGTACCCGAATCTCTACAGTAGATTTGAGAGTTTCGACTTTTTGGCGGGCGTTTCAACGAGTGACCAAACGTGATAACCCTGCGGGGCGAGGTGTGACCACGCGTGATAGCGCTGTGATCACACGTGATAGCGAAGTACTGTACTGTGACTGTCCGTGATAACCCCGTGACCAAACGTGATAATACGGCCTAAATTGTGACTGCGCGTATAATTTCCCAATAGAAAAGAACAAGAGGAAAGTTTAGCAGCAGTCGCCATAACTCGCCTCAGGCCTCTTGAGGTCTCCGTGCTTCGCAGCAGTAAGTCGTTGGCTCACGACGAAGGACCTTGACACAAGCACAGTGAGACTTCAATCCTCGATACTGATAAATCCGAACTTAATGAATGACTCTTTGTACAACTAGATATGTGTTAGCTGTATTTGATCCACAAAGCAACTCCGTAATAAATCTGCAAAAAATGCACTTAAAATTGTACAATCAAATTCAGGGATACGTTTATTCTACATGCAGCATGCACGTTAGTAAGTTATAGTCAGGAATACCGTGTATTTTACAACGTAGTATGTACATGAAACCTAGATAGATCGTAACGAATGCAAAGAATCCGATCCCGCGTTCTGTTCTTTTGAAAGCGAGACAGCAGTAACGAGACCCGACCCCCCCGCATCAAGCGCTCCTTGCTCACTTTTCGCACAACATCCTACAGGCCGTCGTGGGGTTCCGTTACGCGACCCAAGAATCTCCAAGCGACGGCTGTTCCAGGCGGCCGTGAACTGCGCGTCCGCTTCGCCGTCAACGTCAACGTCCTCGTCGAAGCGAAGAATCCGCTTTCGGCGAACGGAGCCGTGTCGCGAGCCGAGTACACGCACACGAGTGGTTCCAAGGATGCTTGCATCGGATGCGCCTCTATGGAGCGGCTCCAAGTGAACTTCCAGCGAACCATTCGACAGGCGAAGAGTTGCGGGTTGGAAAGATTGGATGCATGAAACGCCGCCTGCGGGTAACCTGGGCATCACAGCGGCTACATGTTGCAAGACCCGATCTGTCGCCGAATGATGTTCCTTCGCGTGGTGTGTCGAGCAGCTCATGGTAACACGTGTTGGGCGATGATAACGGGATGGTCTGACGGGAAAGAAGCGATGTGCGGCAATTCTTGGTAGCAGACGTCGCGTTGAACGGAAGGAGATATGTTAGGGTAGTCGCGGCTACTCGCAGGCTAATCGGTGACTGCTTCTGATGTACACGATCGAATAACTGACGACTCAGGTTGCTGATCACACGAACAGACTCGCTAATTATGGAGAGACTCGTACTGACACAAACTCGACGCTCAATTATTTGCTAATGACGCGAATCGTCTTACTGCTCGTGCAAGACGGAGAAGAATTGGAGAGGGTGCAAGCTGTAAACCAGACTGGCTGGAATCTTACGGGATCACATAAGTAGCTAATAATGTTCGGGAGAAAGATGGGAAGACCCACGTCCGCCATGGACAGGTTCCATTCAGAAGTACAACGTATCATCGCGGGTAAACGTTCTCAACCTAGCCATACCATTTTTCACCAGCTCAGTTGTGAAGGAGGGTGGGTTTTGTTGGGCCCTTATGTCGAATCACGTGGACAGTGTTGTGCTCCATGACTTGTTGGTTAGTTGTGGAACAGCAGAGCGTGTCATGTTCACTGTTCACTATGAGTGGGGTGGGAAGGAACCAGATGTATGTTCTTTTACCGCTCTGTGATTCCAGTAACCGTTCTTTATTCCATCATAACATTTCCAACCACCGTCACGAAATAATTTCCTGCCACGCCAAGCCAACTCTGCAGCACACTTGAGCTGCCTCAGCTTCACAGCGAAGCTGAGCTGACGCTAACTGTTATCGTTCGTCCCCTGTGGCTCGAGGGTGTGACCACATGCGGCGGTAGGCGAGAAATCGCCTAGGATGAAACAGTGCAGGTGTATCCTCGATCCAACGCCGCAACATCCCTTCACCAGCTAACGTTTTGGGGGCTGCTGCTGACTGAGCTGGTTCGGAAGGTTGCTTTGGGCTTCGTCTCGGCGCCAAGGTTCAGTTCCGTCCCAACCGGCAGAAACAAGCGAGTCGCATGGTATGTGTCAGGTCTGATCGCGTAGAGGGTTGGCTTGGCTCAGGGCGATCAGCAGCAGGCGGCTCGAATATGGCACCTGCGAAAAGTCGATGACAGCAAAGTCCCAGCGTCAGCATGACGATATTTTTGTGAATTGTGTATCCCTTCCATTCACCGAGCAATTTCGATAGTGCATTCGCTCTGCGAAAACGCGACGTGTTGCGAACGACAGTCTCAGCGTTACATTATGCAGTATTTCTGCTTGCTAATCTCCTTATGTAGTACTATTTATCTATTCTTGAAATTTTTGAGGGGGTGCACACCCCCCCTTCCCCCTCCACCCTATCTCCATCTGGTTCTTATTATCTTAATCCTGTGAGTTTGGCTGCATTTCAAATCCTACCCACTTGTTCTTGTTTTCCAGTGATTGATTTGAGCTGGAGCTTGACTCCCACCATGAGGTTTCATTTGGCCGATTCTTCCACCGTCCACAACAATAGCGCAAACGTGTGCTCGTTCGAAAACTTAAGGCACTCTATGACTTGAGCTTGATTCAGAGTCCATATGAAGCACAAAAACGTTCCATGCTTTGCATATCGTAAGTGTAACTTCTGTAGAGTTTATATTCCCTGCCTTGAGTACAAGCTTGGAAGTTGGATCAAGCCAGTAAATTGGGTCGTGTTGTTTACAAACTAACTGCTGGGGCATGTACTGTTTCTGGGTGCCTGCCCACAAGCTGCACTAAGAGCGTGTTCCTACGGCCTCTTGTCAGGCCTTCCTCATATCACATTTGGTCAAACTCGATGTCAGAACATATAGCTTACTTATTTGTGTAGGCTATACTGGGGTATCCCATAGGGGGTACAACCCAATTAGGGTTTCCTATTTGTACTCACTTCGTTCATAGTCATTTCATTCTCGTTCACTTCTTCTCATGGTATCGAGCAGGTTCCCCTATGGGACCTGTGCTTAGGGCCCACCACCTCGAAACGTCTTTTTTTTCTGCCCTAGCCGCTAGCGCACCGCCCGCCCTCGAACGTGAGCGCCGCCCCTAGCGCCCTAGCGCCCGTCCGCTGCCTGCTCTAGCGCTAGCCACCCGACGCGCCGCCCACAGCGCTGCCCGACGCGCTGCCCTAGCGCCGCCCCAGCGCCGCTCGACGCGCCAGCCTAGCACCGCCCGACGCGCTGCCCGACGCGCCGCCCTAGCGCCGCCCAACGCGCCGCCCTAGCGCAGCCCGTCGCGCTGCCCGTGCAGCTGCCCTAGCGCCGCCCG